CACAAACATGAACATGAGTCTGTGAGCAGATGTGCACGCATGAACACATCAACATTGAAACAGATCAGCAGCAACATGAAACAGATCAGCAGCAACATGATATGGTTTTTCACAGTCATTATTCTAGTTAGAGATTCATGAGTCTAACAGCCTCAGGGTAGAAGCTGTTCCTCAGTCTAGTGGTTCTGCACTTAATGCTCCTTAACCTCCTTCCTGAGGGGAGTGGGGCAAAAAGTGTGTGTGCTGGGTGGGTGGGGTCCTTCATGATGCAGGTGGCCCTCTTCCCGCATCTGGAGGTGTAGATGTCTGTGATGGTGGGGAGACTGATTCCAACAGATTTCTGTGCAACCTTCACCACTCTCTGCAAAGCTTTTCTTTCTGCAGCTGTGCAGCCTCCATGCCACACATTGATGCTCGAGCACAGGATGCTCTCCACTGCACACCTGTAGAAGGAGGTGAGGACTGAGCTTCCCAGACCAGCTCGCCTCAGCCGTCTGAGGAAGTAGAGTCTCTGATGAGCTTTCTTGATCAGGCTGGTGGTGTTGTTGCTCCAGCTGAGGTTGTCATTCATGTGTACACCCAAGTACTTGTAGCTGGAGACCACTTCCACCGCAGATCCTCTTATGTTCAGGGGGGTGTAGGTGTTTTTGTTCCTTCTGAAGTCTACAATCATCTCCTTTGTCTTCTTCACATTGATGTGAAGGTTATTCTCTCTGCACCAGCTCTCCAGGTGTTCCACCTCCTGCCTGTAGCTGGACTCATCATTGTTTGTGATGCATCCCACCACCGCTGTATCATCTGCAAACTTTACAATGTGACAGCCTGGATGGGTAGCTGCACAATCATATGTGAGCAGAGTAAACAGGAGGGGGCTCAACACACATCCCTGAGGAGAGCCAGTGCTGAGGGTTATGGTGGAGGAGGAGAGGTTGTGGATCCTCACTAACTGTGGTCTGTTTGTTAAAAAGTCTAGTACCCAGTTGCAGATGGAGGGGCTTAGTCCTAGTGTGGATAGTTTGTCCATCAGGGTTTGGGGGATCATGGTGTTGAAGGCGGATGTGAAGTCCACAAAGATCAGACGGACGTAAGAGTTTTTCTGCTCCAGGTGGTTGAGTGCAGTGTGGACCACAGAGGAGATTGCATCCTCTGTTGATCGGTTCTCACGGTATGCGTACTGATGAGGGTCCTCGTTGATGTTGATGGTTGTTTTGATGTGAGTCATGACCAGTTTTTCGAAGCATTTAGCGACTATCGGGGTGAGGGCCACTGGCCGATAGTCATTCAGACCAGTCACTGTAGAGCTTTTTGGGACTGGGATGATGGTGGCAGTCTTCAGGCAGGTGGGAACTGTCTCCAGGGTAAGTGAGGTGTTAAAGATGTCTGCCAGCACCTCACAGAGCTGATCAGCACATTCCTTCAACACTTTTCCGGGGATGTTGTCTGGGCCAGTTGCTTTGTGCGGATTAATCCTCCTGAAGGTGCTCCTTACTTCTGCTGAGGTCACGCTGAGATGCTCTTCATCCGGTGGTGAGGTGAGTCTGGTGCTGGGTGGTCTGTTCGGGTCTTCAAAGCATGCATAGAACTTGTTGAGGGCATCAGGCAGAGATGGGTCTTTGGGACATTGTTCACTCCTTCCTTTATAATCTGTTATGCACTTAATGCCCCTCCACATGCTCCGAGGGTCTTGTGAGACGAATTGACCCTCGATCCTCTTTGCATATGTGGCCTTGGCCCTCTTAATACCAGCAACCAGCTCTTTTCTTGTCCTACTCAGCTCCTCTGAGTTTCCAGACCATTCAATGGCATATTTGAGGGTGAGAAAATGCCTAAGGAATGAAGTGTGCTGATGCCCATTATTAGGAACAAGGGTGATGTACAGAGTTGTAGCAACTACAAGGGAATTAAGTTGATGAGTCACACAATGAAGATCTGGGAGAGAGTTGTAGAAGCTAGACTTAGAGGTGACTTTTTGTAAGCAGCAGTATGGTTTCCTGCCAAGAAAGATCACCACAGATCCCATATTTGCTTGGAGGATGCTGATGGAGAAGTACAGAGAGGATCAGGAAGAACTCCATTGTGTCTTTGTGGATTTTGAAAAAGCATATGACATGAAGACAGCCGGACACGTTAGACTGGTACATAATCTATATGAGGACAGCAGGACATGTTAGACTAGTACAGGACATGTATGAGGACAGTGGGACATGTATGAGGACAGCAGAACAGTGGTGAGATGTGCTATAGGAGTGACAGATAGCCTCAAGGTGGAGGTGGGAGTGCATCAAGGATCAGCTCTCAGCCCCTTCTTGTTTGGTCTGGTGATGATGCAGAGGTTGCAAAGTGCTATGTGTTGTCATCATTGTATGTTCCCATAAACTGATGGAAATTGTTCTCTGCATTTAGCCCATCATGCATGACATACACCCAGGTGGAGCAGTGGGCAGCTATGTACAGTAAGCTCCTGGGGAACAGTTAGGGATTAGGTGTCTTGCTCAAGGACACCACAACCTATGGGCATGGCTGGGAGTTAAACCTGCAACTTTCTGGTCTACTGTAATCTACTGTGATCTACTGTAATCTACTGTGATCTAATGAGCTGAGAGTTGGAAATGCACAGTCAAGACAGCTGATGCTTGATCATGATCACAATTTTGCTGCAGTCATATATTTTGTACTGCAATGAATAATGTGTACATTATGTACTGCAATATGTGTTGTATATATTGTGCACTACAATATGAGTGTTGTATAGATACATAAGGTCAAAGAAAAACCTTGACAAACCACTTTCTTGCACACTATAATGAAACCAAAAATATTAATGTTTGTGAATAGAAATGTAAATATGAAAATATTTAGAGAGTCAGAGTTTCTTTATTGTTATTTGCACCTCATGTGGTACATGTGGTGGAGCGAAATTATGTACACAGGGTCCCATTTATGTTGTATAATCAAAATATTCAGCATAAACAGTAAGAAAATTAATGTTTTCCTTGTAGCAATAAAGCTTCATAGAAATAAATTTACTGTTGACAGTCTGAGGCCACATTTGTTAAGACATCTATGGGTTAAGTAGGAGTGTGCTAACTGTGGCCATGAATACTTGTCTAACCACTGTCTTATGACTTGATTGGATAGAACCAAATAGTCTGGTTTTATGGATAGAATGTTGCTGCAGATTTGTGACTCAATGTTTATACAATAATAAATGATTCTCTGTATGCAACAAATGTTGCTTTGTTGCTTCTGCAACTGTTTTGTGACAAGTATATATATATTTTTTTTCTTTGTGAGATGTGACTGCACAGGTAGTGTTACCAATCCTTGTTGTTTCAGCATTGACTCCAGATCTGCAATCCTGTTCTGATATTGACTGATTTCATTCAGCAGCTGCTCTCTGGTCTGAAACAAAACAAGCGGAAACCTATAAAATACAGCTACAGGGAACATAGGTCTTTGCTGCCTCAATCAAAGGCTGGCTCACCTTGATCTCCTTTTCAGCATCATAGTTTCCCCCACATGTCTCTGCCAGCAGAGCATATGCTCGCTGTAATGCCTGGTACTCTTGGGTCAGCTGACGATAACAAAACTCTGCCTCTTCATGCCCACACACCTGAAACCAACACACAGCCAGTCTTAAACCGGTCAAACCCAAGTAACATCCTCAACCTCTGACTCCATATTAGCTTGTCTACTCTTCTCGAGGTTTGAGTTTTTATGTTTCTCAGTTTCTATGTCTCATAGACTGTCTCTGGGTCTTGAAGACTTTTTGTCTCTGGTTTTCTTGGTGTCTCTGGGTTTCTTGGTCCCAGAATGTTTATCTCTTGGTTTCTGGATGTCTGAGAATGTGAAACATCATATATGAATGAATGTATGAATTTATTTTTCTCAGAGACGAGGTATTTTAGTTGGAATAATCAAGAACTGGAAGTGGTTCTGGTTCTATCCATCCAGCCATCCATTCATTATCTTTACCCACTTTTTCCTTTTTGGGTTACAGGGGTCATTGATGCCCATACCTAGTAATCACTGTACAAGAGGTGGGGGACACCCTGGACAGGTCTCCAGTCCATCACAGGGATGCCTGGACAGGTCGCAAGTCCATCACAGGGACACAGAGACAAATGATTTAAACAACCATTCACTCTCTCACTCTCACCTAGGGACAATTTAAAGTAACCAATCAACTTAACATGCATGTTTTTGGTCTGTGGGAGGATGCCAGAGGAATGTACCGGAGTACAGACTTTGTCAACTGAGCCACTGTTCTGCTGGTTCTGGTTCCAAATAATCAATAGTATGTTTACCTCTTCTGGTTCGATATCTGGAGTTCTGTCGGTGTGAAAAGACAAAGATGATCCATCAGATTCTGCTGATGCCTCTTCATCGTAACCATAAAATGTCTCTATCACCTTAACACAAAGAGAAACATGATGTAGTTCAAATGACCACCAGCAGGTGGTGCAGCACAAACAGGATGTTTTTAACTTATTGCCCCACACTGAGCCCAAACGGGGGTTCTGAAGTCACAAAAAGATTATTCAGATGTAAACAAAACAACTGGACTGTAATTAACAAGTAATTAACTTTCCTTACAACAAAATAGAACTTTAACTTATCCTAATGCATGCACAATAATCCAGGTAGAAAAATCTAAAAAAGTTAAGTCAGGTCCTCTGGATGTTCAAAAAAACAAACAAAAAAATTGTAGAAATATTTTGTCTTTCTTTCGAAAGACTTCTTCAGTCTGAGGTGCTGTATTCAACTCAATCTTATAAATAGCACTTTCTCATAGTGGATAAACCAGTTTGCTGCTGACAGCCAAAACTAGCTGTTCACATGATCAAGGAGAACCATCAGCCTAACAATGGATTGTTAGCACCCTGATGGCTTCTTGCTATTCACAGGGGGCTGAGTGATACTAGCAATAACAGCATTGTAAGAGGGGGACAGTTGAAAATGGAGGCCTTCACTCCTATTTAATGATGGGTGGTTTCTGTTCACAAAGATGGCCTCCTTTACTTCTCTCAAACCATCGTTCCTCTCTATCAAGGATGTGAGCATCTTCATCCCTGAATGAGTGATTGCTGGCCTGGAGATTAGTGTAGACCACAGCATCCTGGCCTGATGATGTTGCTCTTCTGTGTTGGGCCATCCTTTTGGCAAGTGGCTGTTTAATTTCCCCAATGTAAGACTGTGGCTGTGATGTAAGGCTGTGATCAGTCTTACATTGGAGAAACTAAACAGCCAATGGCCAAAAGAATGGCCCAGCACAGAAGAGCAACATCATCAGGCCAGGACTCTGTGGTCTGTACTCATCTCCAGGCCAGCAATCACTCATTCAGGGATGAAGATGTTCACATTGTTGATAAAGAGGAACGACGGTTTGAGTAATGGAATCCATCTTTGTGAAGAGAAACCACCCATCATTGAACAGGGGTGGATCCTCCGTGTTCAACTGTCCCCCTCTTACAATGCTGGTATTGCTAGTATCACTCAGCCCCCTGTGAATAGCAAGTGGCCATCAGGTTGCTAACGATCCATTCATCTTGTTAGGCTGATGGTCCTCCTTGGTCATGTGAACAGCTAGTTTTGGCTGTCAGCAGTAAACTGGTTGATTCACTATGAGAAGATGCTATTAAGGTGCTATATAGCCTTCCATCCCTCCACGACCTGTACATCTCCAGGACTGTGAGGCGAGCAGGTTGGATCACAGCTGACCCTGCTCACCCTGCACACGGACTGTTTGAACCACTCCCCTCAGGCAGGAGGCTTCGGTCCATTCGGACCAGAACCTCTCGCCATAAGAACAGTTTCTTCCCCTCTGCTGTTGGACTCCTGAACACTCATAATGCTACCTCATAACTTCTGCTTTGGTCACATTACATCTGTATTATAATTGAATACTCCATCTGTACTGTTTTCTAAGCTTTTTTTTATTGTTTTCTATTGTATGGGTGTACATATGGTTATGTTATGTTTTTAATTTTACTTTATTTGTGGGTGTACACAGGTCTTATGTCTTATGTAATGTTCTCATTTTTACTTTATTTTTACTTTATTTTACTTTATTACTATACGCACCTTATGTCAAAGCAAATTCCTAGTTTGTGAACCTCGTTCATTGACATGACAATAATAAACTGATTCTGAATAAACTGATTCTGATTTATAAGACTGAGTTAAATACAACACCTCAGACTGAAGAAGTTTTTCGGATGAAAGACGAGACGTTTCTACAATTTTTTTTTTTGTTTTTTGAAGTCCAGAGGACTTGACTTAACTTTTTTAGAAGCTTCATTTGTTTTGATGAAGGGGTACCAAAAGAACCAATGTTGCACTACAATATGATACACTCTTGGTTCAGACAGTAGAACACAGAAAACAATACTAGCAGTAGCCCCTGTAGTAACAGCACTGTGTTACGACTGCAGAAGTATAGGTGTGTGTGTGTGTGTGTTAGGGTTAGGGCACGTCAACTTTAGTTCACTTTGTTGTAATTAGTATTTAGGGGTGAGTTGCCACTTTATTTTAAGACCTTTACTACTGTCTCTGTTTTGCCCATTTTCCATTAGTACCTTTAGTACCGGTACAGCATGGTTCTACTCAGTTCGGTATGGTACACATTTTGTTTCCGTTGTGCTTTCAGTACCGGTTCCAGTGGGCAGGGTTCAAATTGATGTCACGTGCCTCACCAACTGGTGGAGGTGAGATGCTGAAAAAGGTTTCAGTACAGGATGAGAATTTTTTTTTAAAGTTTCTGGTAAATTAAAAAAAATATATGTATTCATTCATTCAACCTTTATTTAGACAGGTAAATCCCATTAAGCCTCGAGGACTCATTTACAAGAGAGACCCGATTTCAACAAAGAATGATGACAACAATGGACAACAGCGACAACAATAAACAGTTATAAAAAGTCATACTACAGTTTTTTTTAACAAATAGGATGGCTAAAAGAAAAATGTAACAAAAAAAAACGGCCAGATTCTAAGGCGAATGTAGAAAACTAAAAACAGGAACATGTCTGCATTGGTCCCTGCCAGGAGTCCAACAGATTCTTAAAGAT